AGCCTCAATTTCCCTGTGTTGGCAGAGGTGTGCACAGACACTGGGCGGCCGTCTCTACTGGCCTAGCCTTGCTGTTAGGGGAACGGGAGGCCCTCTATCCCAGTGCATGTCTTCCCACGGTGTCTCTGCATCCTTGGAATATAAGCCATTGCTTACAGGGGAGGGGGCTCATTCTCCCGTCAGGTCTGGGATGGGGACATGCGCCTAGTCCCAGGGTCTGCTCTTTCCAGGGGCAGACTGACAACACATGGGGCCCCCGGGTAATACAAGATTATGGGGCCCCCTTGTGCTCCGCCCATATACAAGTCCCTCCCACATGCCCCACCTGCATAGACATTCTTGTGTCACAGACATTTTATCCGTTTATGCGCCTGTTTAGCGTGATTTTATAGATAACTTGTTGAAATGTTTTCTACTGCTCGAATGCTCCTGTGTTATATAAGATTCTACATTATATGTTCATGATTCCTCAGTCGTTCCCGGGTATGTGTGCCGTCCAGGCCCTGAGTGATCACTTACCCCCACATAGGCCTACCCCTGCCTGTTATAAGGCGTTTGGGGTAATTTTGGACCTTAGCGTCCTTACTTTAGTGAGTGTTTTGTGTTGTTCGTGAGCCGTCTGTGCCATCTGTGATTTGTTTTGTTTCTCTTTCTTGTCTGAAAGGGTTAATCAAGACTCCTTAACCGGACTTCACAGGAAGATTCGTTAGGAAGGATCCGGGAACATATTCAAACAAACACTAGAGATTGTCTAAACACGTTCAATTTATTGTTTCACAGGCAGGGTTTATATACAAAACTGAAAAGAAACAAGCCATGGGTCATAGAACTGGCAGTTTGCTCATGCGGTGAGGGACAGTAAGTGTGGATAAATACAGTTTAAGATGGAAAGATACAAAGAACCACAAGATAAGAGAAGTGCGAATATACTGACTAACTGATGTTACAATCCTCTGCAAGTCTTGTCTCCTAATATGGTCTGTTAGTAAAGCGGATATATAATAAAACTACATAAACCAGCAAATTATTAATACTGACCCTTATAATCCCCTCTTAGATCATGAATATGATCTACTTCATAAATCATACAGAACATTTTATTTAACCAGTTGACATCCGGAGTGTTAAACCACCTTCCCATCCAGGCCATTTTTCAGTATTCAGCGCTGCGGTACTTTGACTGACATTTATTCCGTCATGCAGCGCTGTACTGAAATGAATTTTATACCCTTTTTTGGGGACACATAGAGCTTTCTTTTGGTGGTATTTAATCACCATTGGGGTTTTTATTTTTTAATATATTAAGGAAAAACTACAGATTTTTTTTTTAAAAAACAGTTCCCCCTATATTAAATTCTAAAACATTTATTATTACCAAATTTTTTGGTAAAATATAAAAGACGGCGTCACGTCGGGTAAAGAGACACCAAACATGTCAAGCCTTAAAATTGCGCATGTGCGCGAAACCTCAAAACAACTACATTACCCAAAATTGGCCATTAGCGACGCATTAAAAGCTTTTACCGCTCATCAGCTTAGTGTTATCAGTGATTGATGGCCCTAAAATGATTGCTCTCACTGCGACGTTCGCGACGATATGTAACATGTGCAGCGCAATTGTCATTTTCGCGCGCTGGCGCATGCGATGCATATTTACGTTTATATGTGCGTAAACGAAGGGGGGCAAAATTATACATAGAAGAGCGTAACCACCTAAAAAATTGTTTAGATGCTAAGCATCCTGTAATGACTAACTGTTTAAATAGATTGGTTGATAACTCACGGTTGTGATGTCATGGATGGACATGCACTCCCTGCAGTCCCGTGCAGTTAGTGAAGTATTTCTGGATGGAAAGATCTGGACGGTCAGGATCTAAATGGTCTAAGATCTAAATAAACCCCAAGTCTCTCCAGGCTGCGTCCTCGGCTGGCCGGGCCGAGCCGCGGCTATTAGAGCAGGAGGGGGAGGACTG